AGCCGGTTGCCTGTACTTGGCGCGAGACTCGACCGAGTCTCTTGATCTATAGTGTCTAATTAGTAACGCGTAACTAGTAAATAATACACATCTGTATGATATAAATATTTCAATCGAATGTGACTAGATGGCGAGTTTTGTAACTTACTCGCATGTGGTTGAGGATGAGGTTGGTTACTAGAGACGAGAGAATGTAGACTCAGCATGACTAAGGTGCGTTATTTCTTTCTGCAAGTAAGTATTGTTTGTGTTTTCACATGTAATGTATGTGTAAAATATTTCTCGTTCTTCTAGTAATATACATATATTTAATGTGTATTTAAATGGTTTCTAAAGCTGAGGAAAAGTCTTTCCAGCAAATCAATGGAACATCCATATACCCGATATGAAATATATTGTGTTCCTCAATTTGAGCTTTATGTTACTTCTATATGATTTATGTATCTTATAAATATGAATTATAGTATAAATCGCATGGTTACGCTTCCCGTGTTCTCATAATAACTATACTTGTTATTATTGCCACAATTTTTTGGTAGACATTACACTAACTTTAAAGATTTCTATAACTATAAAACTATAAATGTCATCGTATTTAACCCGATCGTTTAGACGAAATATAGTTACTGCAACTATATTATTTGCTCAGTATGCCAGTAGATTTTGGAATGTACCTTTAATCAAAGTAGTTGTACCAACGTAATACATTTTTTGGTGGTCCTGAATACTACCGATTATGCTATATACATGCTCGAGCTCCGATCTCGACATGCCAATCTGCAACAATTACATACAGTGCCTGCTATAAGAATTAATCGGAAACAACTAATATTTTATTATACTATATATTCCACTGACAATGGACTTTAGGAATTCGTTTACCGGCACAAATAAGAACATGAGGAACATTTGAGGCCCGACTGTCGACAAGCTTCGCCACAGCTAATGAAGGATGAATGCTCATGAATGTTTGAGTAAGAATGCTGAAACGTGCAGCAGCATATTTAAATGTAAATGGTGTTCATTTTGAACATCTGTCGTAATTTATTACAAGATCGTGAGTATTATAAAATGCTTGCTGAAATATTTGCACTACGATTTTCATGTTATTATTGGTCTCGTGTAACGAGGCCTTGGGGGCTTCCTCTCATCGTCAGGTACTGGGCCAAACTTTCCTTTCCGCGCTTTATCTAAACGCATTTTCATTGATCAGATTATTTTAACTTCAACGCTGATTATCTCAAAATTTTGATATGTAAAATAAAAAAATGCAAAAACACATATTCCTTAGAATTTGACAAGAAATGCAACGGTACTACTTCAGTGCATTTCATATTGAACACCCTGTATATGGGTATACAAAAGTACATTTCTTATTCAGTTGTATGAATATAAAAACCAAAATATAAATAACAAATGCACAATTAGTCCTCCTGTTCAATTTTTTTGTCTTCGACAGATCAAAAACAATCAAGTCTCTAGCAAACGATGGGAGGTTTCGCATGTAAGTTTTAGTACAAGGTATTTGTGTGTATGATTTTGCATTGAAATATATTTTGTGTTTCCATTTTACTCCATGTTTCCGTAATTTTATTTTGAAACCACGTGTCATTTATTAAAGATTAAATTGTTTGCAAACTGTCAAAAAATGCGTTTCAAAATACAATTGATTAAATACCTGGTATTTTTGTGGGCCCTTCATCACCCGCTTCTGGCAATATTATTTCAGTACCCGATGGCAAGCCAGGCTTTATCGGAATCGTTAAGATCTTTTCTTGAACCTCCGTTGTATGTTTGGCTTCTCCCGTTAGTACAAATTTTTTAATTTTCATTTTTTTGATAATGCCAAAAAATATCTGCGATGAAGAAATAAATACGAATTAATGTTTGGTAAATTATTCATTTGTGTACCGAAAATCATGCATTTATTAATTATATGAAGAATATTTTAAATATATAAAAATTAGCGATTGCCTAATACATGTACCTATTCATTTTAATTCTAATAAATGAATTTAAATAAACTTACCTCTGACAAAGTTAAAAGTAAAGGTTTTATCACAGATTCATCCTTTTTTTTAACACCTTTCCTGCCGCCAACATTATATAGTGGCAAAGGCTTGCCAAGAATGTCCAATATATCTGCATAAGGACTGGTAGTTCCAAAGAATTCTCTGTAACACAGATTGCATGGAATAAAATAAAATAATTGTGCAACATTCAACAATATGAAATTCAATAACTACAAGTTTTAAAATAACCCCCCAAGTATACTCTACAGGTAAAACATGTTTTGAAGAGGCCATCATTTTATAATTTTCAATGTAAAAGTGCCCCTGAACTTCACGGTTGACTTATGGACTGACTCTAGATGTCATCATGATATCAAATATACTTTGTAGCAATAAACACAACAGATATATAAAACATTCACCTAATATTATGTTGTCACATTATTGTTATAAGTGTTCTATAAGTATTGTGACGTGTACCGTTCATCGGCGTCGCCTACAAATAATCCGTGGCTGCTCCCAACGTGCTGTAATCAAAGAAAAGATCCGAAGATCTAATTGTTGGGCGCCAGGTGCGGCTTTCCCGCACCACCATCCGTCACCACGGCCGTTTTCAGGTTTTCCGGCGGCTCAGCCTCAGAGCACTGAAAATGGTAGAGGGGAACATGGGGGCGACGAGAGAGAATTTCGGAGTCAATGGATAGGCGCGCAAAATGAAAAAACAGCGAGTAGGATACCGTTCCGTTCATTATCATCAAATAAACAGCGGATTTTACAATACAAATCCCGTCGCATACAGTGTGTTCTCCAACGGCGGCTCACGATTATTCCGAGTCGTGATTTCTAGCCTGCCCCAGACCTGTCCCTATGTCGGTGTCCCTACCGAATTCGCGAATTCCCTCGCGGCGCGATTCGCGATCCTAACAGGTCTCGTTGGAGACGAGCCTTTCCTTCTTCGGGAGTGTGCCCTCTGACGTCGGTAGCCACCTGAGGCATCCGTGCGTCCGCACCACTCCCGCTCGGCTGTCTTCTCGCGCAAGATATTCTCTAAATAAGACCGCCCTCGCGGTACTTACTGAGAACTGGCAGTCCCATCAGTCCCGTACCAAATCCAAATCGTGGTGGCCGTGTCCCTTCCCCGCACCACTCCCGCTCGGCTGTCTTCTCGCGCAAGATATTCTCTAAATAAGACCGCCCTCGCGGTACTTACTGAGAACTGGCAGTCCCATCAGTCCCGTACCAAATCCAAATCGTGGTGGCCGTGTCCCTTCCGCCTATCCCCGTGGTGCCGCATCCCGGCTCCACGGGGGTGTACATCCAACACTCGGAATTTCACACACTCGGCCACGCACTGGCACTAGACCATACAAAAAAACCCGGGAGCCATGGTTCTCTGCGAGAGATCCCGATAATCGCAATCCACAATTATCCAATAGCTCCGCTATCGCCCGAGCACGGAAGAAGGACTCATTTTTCGCGGTCCGCTGGACACCCGAGTCCTTACACGCGGACTCCCCGCGACACACTCCCTCTCCTACCTACCGCTCTTCGCGGTAGGTCAAAAATCAAAAGAAATCTCCTCTCCGGCGCTCTCCCCGCGGACACGCAAACCGTAGCCGATCAAAGTTCCCGGGGTACCGGATTATCCAATAGCTCCGCTATCGCCCGAGCACGGAAGAAGGACTCATTTTTCGCGGTTCCGCCGGGCACCCGTGTCCTTACATGCGGACTCCCCGCGACACACTCCCCTTATCCTACCTACCGCTTTTCGCGGCAGGTCAAAAATCAAAACAAATCTCCTCTCCGGCGCCCTCCCTGCGGACCCGTTCAAAGTTCCCGGGGTACCAGCAGTGCGTCCTGGCGGTTGAGCACCCCTTGCATGCGGGCTCTCAACCCAAAAGGTGCCTCCGCCGCCAGTCCACTACTTTCCCCCGTTCCCTCCACCCAACCACGGACCGACGAACTCTTTTGAGATGGAGGCTGGAGGCACTGCCGTGCTGTCGGCAGCGCGCGGAGGTGCGGGGCTTCTGTAATGTGTCGTCCTGACGCCACGTTACAGTATAAATAAGAAATTACGAATGTTTTATAAGCATTCAGTTTTCATAGGCAACAGCAGCATTTTGTTATAATTCATTTACATTTGGATACATTGATAATGAAGATAATATATATTTGTAAGAAGAAATATTAGCCCTACTCGTAAATATTTTACACATTCATATACTATACGTTATTATTTTTCTATCAACGTGTAAAATAGCTTTCGGCGGGGGGCTTTACCTTCTTATGACTTTTAAGGTAAATTAGAAACTAATTATCGAATTCGCCTGAAACATACCTGTATGTTCTTAATGGTTCACCATGAAATATATAAGGCTCAATGTAGTTTTCCGGACCAGGAACTCCTTTTTTTAAACCATTTTCACCGTATTGGTCATAAACAGTTCTTTTTAAAGGATCCGAAAGTATTTCATAAGCTTCAGCAATTAAAGAGAAAAGCACGTTAAAACTATTGTCTTTTTGTCTTTCAGGATTATATTGGATGGCCCATCTACGAAATCTGTAAATTCAATAGTTCAATGTAAACTACAGTTAATTTTAATTCACCTTGCATTCGGATGAAAGCTAATTGAAAAATAATATTTTTATGAATTAATTATATTTAAGTTATAAATATTTAATATATTATATTATTAATTAATTCAGAATTAAAATTTAGGATATATCTATCACTTCAAAAAGTTTCTTTGGCTTTAATTCCCAGACACCCCGTAGGAAAGTTTTTTATTGTCGATGGGATTTTTGCAAGGGTAATATGTGGTATATCAACGGAAATAAGTGGATAATCATTCGTTACCTTGGCAAAAAACTATTGGCAGTAGGAAGTTTTTCTACGGGATGAGTGACAGAATAAAAAAAATTAGTGTAAATGTGAAAACTGAAAGTTGAATTTGAGAAGAAAACAATGTTTCCTCAATATAGAACGTAAAAATTAATAACAATCAGGATAGTTAAAGTAAAGAAATATAAGTAAACTTTCGCGAGGTTTATATTTTTGTATTATGTGTAATTCCAAATAAAAAATGTTAAATCTCATATGATTTTCTTCAAAAATTCTTTCTAATGAATCTTCAACATTTTTTAATAAAAATAAGCTAACACAATGATTTCTCTGTTATCAATTTTGGAGGAAAAATTGAACAATTTTATTTACGTTTTATTGAGCATCTTTAACACTAGGTTTACGAACATTTCTGACATACCTATTTCTACTGCTACGCGTCAAATTCATGCGTGAATGGAACCGATCATTTACTTAAAAAAAACTTATTTTATTTAAAAACAACATAATTAGACACTATTAACTTATAATGTTTAACATTATAATACAACAGTACATTTATTCCACGCATTTTTCAGATATATATTCGATTATATATATATTCTTGCGAAATTCAAAATGCGTCAAAAAGACGCGTCTCGTAAACCTAGTGGTAATTCGAGATTCTTAACGTTTAATATTAATTGGAAAATCAGGTTACTAGCAATCGTAGTACATTGAATAAATAAAAAAAGTTTGTTAACAAATGTTTGGGATACGGGTTATAGTTTAATGGACTTACGCTTTTTTGATGTCTACATCTTGGCAGTCTCTTTTCAACGATAAAACACCATAATAATCTATTCCATAATTTTTGCTTTGACATCTGTCACCACAAGCCATTTTTTCTATGTCCATTCGAATCTACATATTTCAACACTGGGCTATACACACAAGAGTGTAATGAAACAAACAAAAATACGTTATTTTCTTTTTTAATTTTCAAGACACCTTTTTTATTACTATAGTATAATTAATCATTGTACATCTTTTATTTTACTTTGAAATCTATTTTTAATTAATATAGTTCATAAGGATTATAATTTTTCGTATATATATATCAGACATGTTGCAACATATTTGTCTAACTTCAAGAAAGCATTGATAATGTATTTTTTATTACTTTAAGAAATGCAGTATCCAATGTAATAATAAATGAAAATAAAATAACTATTACGCCCATTTCCTATGGACCTGTGAACATTTTTTTCAAAGAGAAAAAAGGTTGAAGCTAATGTTGATAACGTTGAAAACTGAGATGGCTGCGACTGGCGTTCATATGTTTTCAACAACGCGCCCTTCAACAACAAAATGTTGCCTGGAGTTACGTGAGATAGTATCATTGATAAATATTAAATTATATTCTACCGCACTATTACAATTGTTTAAACTTTGTAACAATTCATCAGCAAAGCTATTCGTTGCATCAAGTTTTTGAGAAGAAAGCGAAAATATGAAGAAAGGCAATCACATATCGACATTCGTACAAGAAGGTACGCTGCCCCAATTGTACATTATTTATTCATACACTGTTTACAAGCATTCATATTTTAATGCATACTTATTAGCCAAAGCCAATTTTTGATATATAAAATATACTATCTTATTAAAATAAAAAATATTTGGTCGAGAAAACAATAATAAAAATTTTCTTTATGGCATTTTTTAAATGTCGTTAACCAAATTACAGGTGCAAATTTGAATGTAAATGTGCGAGGGGAAGTTTTGTCTCATTCCACTAGTCAATTAATTGAAATACTGAGCAACGAAAATATAATGACATCAACGTCTACGCGAAAAAGACACATTTGCATTCGACCAAAATCAGAGCATCAACAAAAATCGCAGCTGAATGTCCAACGGGATATACAGTTGCAAGAAGCTCCGTGCGTAACAGATACATTTTTGGAGGTTACGAGAAAGAGTAGTCTTGGTCCTGCAAAACAAAAAATTCCTAGACCTGCAAATGCATTCATGCTTTTTGCAAATGTATGGAGAAAAAAGCTTGCTGTTGAAAATCCACGGGAGTCCAACAAGGACATAAGTGTTAGGTTAGAAAACAAAATTAGCTTCGCTAAAAAATAATCAACATACGTACTTTCTAAAATAATCAACGTCAATATACTTTTGTTCTTGCTATTATTGTTGTATAATTTTTATATTTTAGCTGTGTTTTGTATTAATAGTCAAATTTTTCTTTTTCAACCTACTCAATTGAATGGATACAAAACGTAATGATATTAATTTTTTGAACTTCTTACAATTACATTCTGAGAATTAAAGTCGTAATTAAGTGAAGTGCAGAATCATTTTCAGGTTCTATTGTCTTTGTTAGCTAATTTATTTATTACGCAATTCAATCAAGTGCTTGCAAAAGTTGTAACGTATGATCGTTTCGGACTGGGTTTTATTAATGTAGATTGTTCTATTCGTGTTACTGCTTTAACTCAAGCGAAATATCGAAAATTAAAATTGTTGAGCTAAACATTGATAACATCGTTTTATACACGTATATGTACTTTAATATAGAATTTGTGCAACAATAATATAAATAGGACGTGTAATAGCAATTGTTATGATGACCTTTATGACGGAAATTACAGAAAATCCCGAATTAATAATTAATTTTGTTGTAAAATAGGTTGGGTATACTCTGGAAAAATATGGCGAAGGATGTAAAGGAGGAATATTTCACATTGGCGCGCGAGGTCGATGCTGAACACAAACGAAAATATCCAGGTATGACAATTTTTGTTCATTTGATATCCTTATGCATTGTTGCATATTTATTTCTTCATAGATTTGTTCATTTTAGTGATTTGTACTTAAAACATATATAATGAAGCCGTAAAAAAAATGCGAATGAGTTGTTTAGTCTGAAAGTGAATTATATTTTCCAGTATGTCATCCGTATACAGAATTATTTATGACAAATATATCATCACATATGATGGTGTCACCATAAAAATCAAACACGTTAACTTGTGTGTTTGTCTTAAATTACCCTGTGTATGTTCTATACCTATAACAGGGCATAAACAGTATTATAAATGCTAACTCATTCGACATGTACATACATATGGTATTTATCATAAGATTCATATAGTATAAAATATATTTTTAGAGATCAAGAGACTCGGTCGAGTCTCGCGCCAAGTACAGGCAACCGGCTGTACAGGGCGCAGCGCGCCGAGACTCTTTACTCGAGTCAACTCCTTATACCTGTGTTTGGAACAAAATATCTTATGACCCGCTATATATGAGGAAAAGTTATTGATACATTCACTATAGGAATTGAAGGTTCTGAAGCGATTGCCACCAAGTTCAATACGATTAGTGTACGAGATCAGGGCGTATTGAAATGGCGAGCGAGATGATTTTATAGGTGTTAAATGTGAAAGTTCAGAGTGTTCAGTTGTTCCTCTCCGTAGTTTCTTGTATTTAGATATCGGATATCCAGGGTGTTCAGGTGTTACTCTTCGTAGTTTCTTGTACCTAGGTGTTAGATGTGGAAGTTCAGTGTGTTCAAGTGTCCCTCTGCATAGTTTTCTGTGTTTAGGTTTCCCGTTCTGAATCGATCGGCACCAAGATCTATACAATTGCTGTACGAGATCAAGGCATATATTGAAATAGCAAAGGAGATGATTTTAATTCAGTTCAGTCATTGTCGTCGTCTTCGTACCTCCAACTACTTTTTTAGATAACAGATGGCACTGATTAGAACATGTAGTTGAGACTTGTGTCAAGTACAAGCAACCAATGGTATAGCCAATACAAAATTTCATTGATTACGTCTCAAAATATAAAATAACTTCGAATTATCTTTAGCAATTTGAAATACGAAAAGCTGATTTATATGTAAATAAAAATTAGATGAAAAAAAATAATAATAGGCAATGAAGAATATTTATAAAAAGGAAAAGAGAAGAAATGAAAGTTTATGTAAATATAATTTGGAATTACATAATAAAGTACAATCTTTTAGATGAATGAACAAATAATATGTTTAGCGTAATCAAAATGTAATTTTCAAATATTTATAGTCTTCGAACATGTTACTTTGTTGACTATTCATTTGATTCAATGTAATATGCATATAAAATTTTATGTTACAACATGTAACATAATTTTAAATTAATAAATTGATACATATTTGAGTTATAGTGTAATATAATTTCCAATAAATTATTTTGCATTAGTATATTCATGTTTCAATAAATTACTTGCTTCACTTCAATATAAAAACTGTTATTCGTATAATATTTCTACAAACAATAACTAGGCAAATATATTTAATATGTCATTCATCTGGTAATATGTATGATACTTTACAACTGAAATTTCTAATTAAAACACTATACACAATTGCCAATACCATTAAGTGCAACAAAGAGACTTGAATTTATCAGATAGTAACAGTATCATATTTGTTATAAAATATATATTCTAATATTTATTATGTTCTTGTTGAAATAGAAAACAAAAATTTAGAATAATTAATACTACAATATATTGTATCGCACTAGATTAGTTGAGTGATTGCCTTAAGATATCGAATGAGGACTTTACAAATATTATATCTATAATACTCTTTTAGTTCAAGTATATTTACCCTTCATTCCAGTAAATATTATTAATTATTAGAAACTAATCACATGTGAGTTTTGATAAAAATTTTCATACAAAATTCAAAGATTAATTTTATTTTTATCTATTAAACATTCAACCGCAGATTTCATAAAAACAAATTAAATGAAAAATATATATTTTGAAGAAAAATTTACTTTGATTTTTGGTTTGAACTAAATGTGTAACTGATTGTAAGCGTGCAAATGAGGAGGAAATCTTCTTTCCTCATGGTAATCTTTTGGTGTGACGTCTATGATTATCACGGTAGAAAGCTTACGAAGATTCCTAAATGACTCAACTTCTTTCTAAATGAATTTCATTTTACATTTAACAATATATTTTCCTTTCAAATTTATATATATTTTTGTGTTTCTAAGAAAAATCAATTTATAAATTATATTTATATGGCTTTTAACATTTTCGACAACGCAATATATTTATGTGATTAGTGACATTGCAATGTATTTATATTTTATATTTGTTTAACAATGCAGATTTCAGTGTTTAAAACTTTTTTCATATATCCTATTGAGCAACAAAAACTTGTGATATCCTCCAAAAAACACTTACGTGTAAAAAACTACGCCAAGTACAGGATTGCTGTGAATTCCTCTAACAAAATGTATTGATATCATATTATTGAGGCCAAGTACATAAGTCATTACATGTTTTCCTATTATATGATCTAGCACTGGCCCATTATTTTAATTATATTTTCAATATTTCCTATAACGTTTTCGCTACTCTTTTATGTTACTGCTGCTTCCCGTATTTAATTATGGTTTAATGGTGATTTAATAATTAATAAAACTTTAGGTGATTCCTTATCGAGTACTACTTGATGGGTCCGTGCCAGGAATTCCAAAGTACTTACTTTGCACGTGGTCATAGTATTCTAATGCTGTATGTTTGTTATTAAGCTTTTACCGTGTTTATTTTTGACGAGTTATTGTTAATATGCTTTCTATAGGAAATTGGTACTGGTTTTGTACCAAATTTATATCAAGAAATGCACGGAGCCGCCAAGTAGTACTCGATAAGGAATCACCTTAAGTTTTATTAATTATTAAATCACCATTAAATCGTAATTAAATACGGGAAGCAGTAGTAACATAAAAAAGTAGCGAAAACGTTATAGGAAATATTGAAAATATAATTAAAATGATGGGCCAGTGCTAGATCATATAATAGGAAAACATGTAGTGACTTATGTACTTGGCCTCAATAATATGATATCAATACTTTTTGTTAGAGGAATTCACAGCAATCCTGTACTTGGCGTAGTTTTTTACACGTAAGTGTTTTTTGGGGGATATACTTCACAGACGTATAACAAGCAGTTCTGTAATTTTATCTGAGCATACTATGATTTACATAAAGGAACTAAGGAAATTCGTAAAAATTATTATACTAAAAGTTTTATGCCTTCAGAGAATTATAAATGTATATTAAATAATTTCTTTGTTATGATTTTTCCACAGACGTTAAAGTCTCTTTTAATCATTAATTCTCTGATCGACATCTGGGTTATCAGTGACCCAAGTGCACCCTATAAGTAATATTCCCGCTGAAAGACAGGTTCGAGGGAAGGAGGCACTATACTGAACATAAGGGGAAAAATAAAGCCTACCTGACTGGTATTGTGGTCTGCTTTTTTGGGTCACCTATGACCCAGGTGCAGAAAAAAAGTTGAAATTTCAATTCCACAATCAATAACGAAACTGGTAAATTAACCTATTGCCATTCTGGACACAGAAGGAGAAACAAAAGGTGGAACAGATTTGCTTGATCAATTTTGTTATCGGTATACGACTGCACGAAAAACCTACCTTTGCGTCTTGTACGGTATGTTAGATCAATCTGCTGTGAATGGTTCTGTGTTGTATAATTTTAGTTATGTTAAAGAGCCACTCACTCACCATCAGTTCTTGCTGACATTGGTTAATGCTTTGCTAGAACCTCACCTTTGTTCGCGAATAACGAATATCGCTTTGCAAAAAAACTTGAAGAGCTGCACTACTGAAATGTTTACACATCCGATAATAAAACTTCTAAAGTATGCATTGTATGTATGGTGCCGATATGCTCTAATCACCGTCTTGCTGTCTGCGTTAAATGTTTCAAAAATTTATTTAATTTTTTATAGTTTTGAAAGTTTACGTTTAATAGAATTTGTTATCATTAAATGCATATAAATCTTGTAAGAAAATGCGTTTGTCTCGTTTTTAACCATTTTCGCTTATTGAAATATCTTCTAACTTGTAATTTTTTTTTACGGGTTATTTTTCCGCACCTTACACAGTAACTTTCTGTTACACCCATTATATGTTAAAAAAATTCTTAGAGAAATATCAGTCAAAAATAGACATTTTTAAATTTTCGTCACAGTCCTGTTTCATATTTTAAAATAAATATACTTTTTTGAAAGCCAATAAAACCCGTTTATATAGTCGTGTACAGTGAAGTTTTCAGATTACGAAACACACAGATTTTTTTTAATTACATGAAAAATAATAGAAATATCATTAAATAAACCAAAAAGGTCATTTTGCACGTCTTCTTGACTTTTTTTTTTCTAGTGACTTTTTCTGGGATAAACATATCATGTTACAACTTACATATTCTTTTAGTGGAAATTCTGACGATTTTATTTGATTATATATAACATGAAAATAAAAAATTTGAACCATCTTTATATAGGATATAACTTTCTGGGTCACAAGTGACCCGGGTGTACTTCAACGTGGTGACAATAAATGCTGTAGACCAGAGGGTAAAGAAAGTTCGACGTGGCTATCAATTTGTAGTACTGCATACAGGGTTAGTCAGGAGAAACGCACCAGCAGAAGTTGGCCACAAGTGACCGACACGGCAATGTGGCCTCTTCAAAAAATTACATGTGACTGTGACCGATTCCCATAAGCGCAAACTGACAGTTCGCATAGCAATAAAGTTTTCGAAATATTTCAATAGTTAGGTTACTGAAATAATTAATTAATATTGTAATGACAAAATGTAATATCAGTTAAGATTTATTTTCACAACAGATTACAATTAAAATAATGTAAAGTTTAAAATATTCACAATTTTGATATTTCCGAGTAATGATTACAACTGCAATTGTGGAATACAATGCTGCAATTAATTTAAAAATCAATTAATTGAAATGTTTATATAGCAAAAAAAGTGCAGGAACAAAATCTGTTGCGAAAATAAATCTTAACTGACATAACATTTTGTCATTACAATATTAATTAATTATTTCAGTAACCTAACTATTGAAATATTTCGAAAACTTTATTGCTATGCGAACTGTCAGTTTGCGCTTATGGGAATCGGTCACAGTCAGATGTCATTTTTTGAAGAGGCCACATTGCCGTGTCAGCCACTTGCGGCCAACTTCTGCTGGTGCGTTTCTACTGACTAACCCTGTATATGACATTTTCGAATTTGCTTCTTAAGTAAATAATATGCAATACAATACTAAATTGTATTAGCCAATAGCAATAACGGATAACTGCTTAAAAATTAAATAAACATTTTTTAATAATAACTAGTTATAGTCTGACCACAAATTTCATGTGTTTTTTTTTATAGATCGAAAACAACGAACTCTCTAGCATTCCACACATGGTTTTATATAAAAATTTGGTTACACACTATGCATGTGCATGGTTTTGCACTGAAATATATTTAATATTTTTATTTTAGCACGATTTTCCGTGATCTTATTAGAAGTCACGTGGGGTTTGCTAACGATTGTATTGTTTGCAAACTGTTAAAAAACATATTGAAATAATGAACCGACTTTACTGACAGTGGCTACAGTACATGTTTTTGTAAAAGATTTTGCCAATTGTTAGAAAATTAGAAACAATAATATTAAATAGGCATCGTGACGCGTATGATTTTCAGACCCTTCAGGCCGTTACGTTCACAATTCCAGGGTATATATGGTAAACGGCACCAAGTTCAGATTGCAGGCATTCTGCCATTAGCGCTTAGCTTGTCCATAGCATTTATAAATGAGCAAACCGACCCCTTAGCTATTACTTTGTAAAGATACTACTTTTCATAACACACGCAAATCGCGCGGAGTAAATTGGCAAACTGACCTTTCTCAACTTCTTTTCAGTGCATTTAGAGTGGAACGCTACAGTTGTATCGCTTTCGTCGATACATGCTATTAACATTATTATTATTATTATTATTATTATTATTATTATTATTATTATTAATTTTCAATTATCAATCGTACAATCTCTAATTCTTCTCGTCGACCCTTTGACCATATTCTAAACTATTAGGATTTGCTCACTAGCATGACCATTAATCCATCTTTTAAATTAACCCGGTGTCCATATGCTGGAATACCAGGTATTGCTTGCTTACTGGCGCAACTTTTATGCAATCTGAATCAACCCTTTTGATCACAATTTATATTATAACATATTCTGGAAACCAGATACTGTTCCATGACACGATTCTGTTACCCGAATCTATCTACAAGATCTTAACTCCACTCGTTTGAACTACATACTTGGAGCTAATATAATAATATTTATCTCGCTACGCAATTAGTGGTATCTAATAGGTTTCTGCATCTCGTTATCTTGACCCTTTTTCTAAAATCAACTCATTTATATTTTTGCACGCAGCTTTAATGTTTTTTTTATAATTACTAATATTCAGCATCTTCAGATTGAACCTCGATTAATAATCTCTGTATACCGTTTAGGAAAGTAAATTCTTTGGTTTCATTACTTCGAACACAAAACCTCATTTTTATTTCTCCCGCCTAATACCTCAACTAAAATTTCTAATAAACGGCATTGGCTCAAACCCGCCTAACTCGTACGAGCTGAAGAAAAACCTTGTGTGAAAATTAAGGTTTGAGCAATCTGTTGCCATATACGATTATATGCGACTGAATGCGGATGCGGTGGGGTCCACATGCAGCTGGAAAACAATTTTTAGTAGAAGACCTCAATAACTTTCCATGTCATAACGAGAATCAAGGAGTTCAGTCTATGTGCAATTATATTCATTAATAAATAGATCTGTAGCCGTATTGGGTCGCATATCAGTAACACTTCTGCCAGACTTATCCCTGGATCCAGAGCGAGCGCAATGTCTTATCTTGATTCATTTTAAACATTTATATCCAGAAAATTAATTATCGGATCAAATTTTTATCTCCCAACTCGTGGACTATTTTGAATTCAAAAATATTATTACAAAGTTTGTGTGCAAGAATTTTGAAATACTCTGTATATCCATAATTAATCGGATTTACTTATGTTCTACTATTCGCTATGTGCGTACGTATTCAGATCCCATATCTAAGTATGTATTTCAATGCATGTATAATCAAGAAGGTGATAACGCCGTCCAACAAAGTTGATAACTAATCGGTAACCACTCTTCTGATAGAACCAGATGTTTTAAAAATTAATTAGTTGTAGTTTTGGTATCCAAATGAATATAATATTTCGGGTGAATCTTGGAAATTAATGGCAAAATTTTCGTACGAATTTTAGAAACAAAAATGAATAACAATTTTTCGAAGAAATCATTACCATAATCTTGTTAATTTTTTTCATGTTATTTTTCGACGTTTATTCGGAAACTATATTGACGTAGATCATAAAAGTCCAATGATTTATTTTTAAGACTACTGGTTCCACTTGGAGAGTTCATCGAGTTCGCATATTTTACGATTATTATTTGTTATTGTTTACCAGTTTTTATTACAATTCTGCAGAGAATTGAATTACCTACCATTTAGAAATGTAATTTTAATTATTTTGAACTAATATTCAACGCTAATTAAAGATTTAAAAATTAATTTTCGTATGTAACAGACTAGTTCTCTCTACGGACTTTGCACTACCATTCTTGTAGAGAATTACATTTTCTACAGAATTGTCCTTTAACATTTTACTTTCAAGCTAATACCATTCCACTCACATTTGTATAAGAAATCGTTCGTTCCAATTCTGTTAGCAATAGTACTGTTACGTCTAGAGGAGAAACTTCAATGACACTTTATGCTTTTTACCATTATTTTGTTTAGTGCAACCTATTAAGTATCTCTAGTAAAATGTATTCAGTCTTTGCTATTCATTGACCATCATCATCCAACATACTTATAACAGTAATAACTTAAAAATCAGCTTACTAAGTATCATTCTAACCCATCGCCTACCGTACATAAACATATCGACAGTTGTGCTTCACACTTCTGTGACAGCCAAGGCTAGGATATGCTTCCTGAAGAAATTATGGTATAAACAAAACAGTAATCGCGCGCTCTTAGGGTGGCCCAAATACTATTGTGAAAGGAAGGGGCTACAAAAGACGAACAGGAGATGAAGATATGGAAACTAAACTCCGCCCAGTGACCGGGCTTAATAATTAGCCATAGGTCAACTGCAAATCAGAAATCACCACGTAGTCGCAAATCATCTTGGTTAAAGTACAGTTCGATCCCTGATCAGTTACGGGTCAGCAGTCATAAAGTCCAGTCAGGAGTCAGAAGTCAAAAAGGTTCAGTCAGATGACATAATAAATCGCTCTCTAAAAATTCAACTCAAAAAAATATCTAAGTTCAAACTCTATATTCAATTTCTAATTCTTTAAATCTTTTTAATCTTTTGTCGCCGTTTCCGAATTCGAATTCAACAATTGAATATCATATTAACAATTTATTTTATTAAACGTAAGTTATCTTATTTTACATTTGAATTGAAATATAATGTTAAATTTGTTCTTACCCGAACTCAACTTGTCGTATAATTCTCTGTTATCAATTCCTTTAAGTCCTAAACCAACGTCTATCCTCATTCAACAATCACGTACATTCTTAATTCATAATCAAGTTCACAGCATCGTAAGTAGAAGTTCAGTTTTATTAGTTTTCGTAATAATTTCTAATTGTGGATTTAAGTTTCTATTCACCATAGGTAACAATTCGTTCTGTACAGCCAGTCTTATGACCATCAACGATATAGGGTGCAAGAAACTGGCCGATCCCGGGTAAATTTTCGAAAGGTTAGACCCTAAACAGGCCATTGTGAACATCCTCCCGACGTTGTCCATTGCTTATAAACACTCACTAGTGGTGGGGAGCGTATCTGAGTTCCCATTACTACTTTATCGATAGCATGCGATCGTTCGTCGGAAGTAGTAAGCAATTGAAAATGTACTCCATAGGGTAAACTCTACCGATCCTCCAACTACGACTATACCAACCGTGTGCAATATAGATATACATATATAATTTGTTAAATTTCTTAAAACAAATAGAAAAATATATTAAAACTGTGAATTTAATACTAGGAAATAATAATTATGCTGATAAATAAATCATAATGCTTACTGGACGGCCTAATCTGCACCATCATTTTTTTCTCTAACGTTTACGGGCATGGAAAAGAACACGCGAAAAAGAAAGACAGCTGCCGCATGCATTTCGATTAACAGTAATTTCTCAATAAGTATACGATAAATGATGTTCATTTTTTTACAGTAAACGCCTCAGATATCAAGCTATCTGAAAATATATTCTAATGCTATAAATGTAACTTGCTAATGGATTTGCAGGAAAGTATCCTGTCAGGATGTCGACCCTAACTTGCTAACTTTTGCGAAAATTACGGACATCTGACTAAATGCAACTATTTCCCCCCACTATCTTAATTTTTCTCAACTTTATTAATTAATATCTCTTTAA